TTATTTCTCTATGTAAGCCCCCAATTGATATACAATTTAATTATGATCCTTCTTATTTAATTCAATGTATTTAAATCCCAATTACGATATTATTCAAATTCAAATTAATTATTAATTTTTTCATTTGAGGCTCCAATTGAAATTCCATTTAATAATGATGCTCTTCATTTAATTCAATATACCCAAATCATAATCAAAATATTATTCAGATCTCATTAATTGAATATATTTAGATGTCATAATGCCATACCCGACCTGTTTTTAAACAAATCAGGTATTATAAGTTTTCAAAAATATAGTTGAGTGCTCTCATATTACCTTAGACTTAGTCCAACATAACTAAATTGCAAAGGAACTTAATGTAATAATAACCCTCATATATAGCAGAAGATTGTTTTATATTTCCTCTATCCATATTCATTTATCCTAGTAGAAAAGGCATACATATTAATTCAGGAGAGAGCAAATTCTATGTACGATGTAAGAATTTTTTTTCCCTTTTCAGTCTTGCACTCTAATAACTGTCACACTATTTTAAATCTTAACTATCTCTATATAATGCCCTCCATAGAATTATTGGAAACAAATAACAATTATACCTTTGAAATTTGAAATAGGATATATATATATATTTGAGAACAAAATAAAAGTTCAAACCAAAATAAGTAAATAAGAAGGGAGAAAGTATATAGCATATATCAAGAGTTAGAACTATGGATGTTTATTCATAAGAAATACAAATGTTACCTGGTGGTGTTGGTTATAACTTTTACAAAAGGAAGAGCAATAATAGAGAGAGTACTATGTACTATCTTAGTCTATTATCTCTTCTTTTGTATAATGAACTGGCTTACTGATCATTGATCATATATGATTTGTGCTCAAAATCCCATAATTATTAAACGATATCAAATCTCAGTTTTTATGTTAAATTACATGGAAAAAAAAATAATCCAACAGAATTCACTTGTGTATTATATTGGATGAATATCAAAGTTCATGCTTCTGAGTATACAGGTAATGGTTACCTACTTGATAAGTATTTTCTGAACCAAATTGGGACCAAACATTGACAAGGGTTTTATGTCACCAACAATTATATACATGAGATAGTAAGAGGCCCAGAATTTGATTCTTTCTTCATCAAATTAACAGCAAGTGAATATAAGCACCACGTGGTTTTGTCCCCATATTTGACAGTGATTGATTTTGTGGTGAACTACTGCTTGATCATATCCATATATATTCTTCCACTTTCAATAGATAGCTACAACTCAGCACCACATACCATTAATTTCTACGTAATGTTAAGTTGGGTTGGGTTTTGGAGACCACTCACAAATCTACCCGCTGATAAAATTCTCATATCAATAGTAAAATTAGAACTCATGACTTCATGAGTCTTTATTACTAACTGAACCAAGCCAATCTTTTTGTTGGCAAAAACAAAACTCCTTCGATTACATATTTTGTTGTGATAAGGCTTGTTGTATTAAGAAATCCAAAGCATGCAAGCAACTTAGATCAATTAGGTCTTCATGATTCAATATTCTTGAGGGCAAAATAATATCATCAGATTATTAAAGTAATGGAACAATTCATATATGGGAATTAGATTTAATCCCAAATATATAATATCTCAATCCATTTTGTTTTTCAACTTTATGATTCATTTTCTAAAGTATTCCTATTTATTACACATACCTCTTTCTAAGGGTAATCATAATTAAAAAGATACTTTAAAAAAATTAACTTATATTTATTACAAATAACTAATTTAGCTAATTTTTTTCCATTCAAATTAGTGGGACGTAGCATATTATTTACTTACAAATATGTTCGCTTCCAACCCAGTTTTTTTCCTGCTTTGCAAGAGCGGTACTTTGGTGCTGCCACAAAACCCTGGGTTTAAAACTTATAAACAGTAAGAATTATATATAATATTATTTTATTATTAAAAATATGACACTCATAATGAATTGAAAATACAATTGTCAAATATTATTATATTAGGTTTAACATATTGTTGAACTCAATTAATATAGGTTTCGAGTAATGTGAAATTCAATTTTTTTTTTTTGAAAAAAAGCACAAGCATCCTCTTATTTGAAATAATTTTATTCGAGACATTATTGTCGAATCCTGAGTTACCATGAGGAACTAACTTTTTCCACTCGACTCAATTTTATTGTTGTGAAGTTCAATTATAGGTACGTTTTATAACATAATTTTTTTAAATGTTGGCCTTGTTTCAAAGAATCAGTCCCCTTCCCTCAACTCAGCCGCAATTAATACCTGAATTTTGGTCATAACGTGCTTCCTAGCCGGTACGCCCCTTACGGGAGCGACAGCCAATTCCAAACCCCTTCTAATCCCATCGTGAGTTGGATATCTACACACAAACAATAACAGTAACAGTGTATTCAAGAAAAGGAATCTTCAAGGTGTAAAAAAAAAAAAAAAAGAGGAATCGAGAATAAAAATCTGGGCAACCTGTTTGTTATTTCCATTTTTTTCTTTTTAGAGGGAAGATTCTTATTTACTTTTGAGATGTGGTTGCACGTGGATTTACCCTTTGACAGCAAAGATCCATTTCCCTGTCGAGCATCTATAATCTGTAGTTTTCACTGAGTACGATTCTTGATTGTCCCATGTCCAGCATTTATTGTTGGCATCCAGCATTTCTTTTCTTTTCTTTTCTTTTTTAATGTTCACGATTCTTACGAAGATAGGTTTCGCCAAAACCCGAGCCATGTTTATCTATCAAGTGAACTTCACAAATCAAGTGTCCAGTAACTTTTTATCTGGTCACCAGCATTTCAAGCTATCCACTGCCAGGCAGTGAACCACAAAGACAGAAGAAAGCCGGGACCCCATTTAAGAAAATTAGTTTGGGTGTTGATTTCTCGAAAACGCCTTTTCAAATCATTTATATTAAAAACTATTACCACTGATTAAACCTCACCTAACCCCACCCCTTTTAATGTGTACAATTTGCAAGAATATAAATTTAAGAAATAAAAAAGGGCAAAGCAAACCCCACAACTAACTCATTTACCTTCGGAAGTAGTCGATTTTTGAAGGTGCTAATATGTAATTGGTGCTGTTAATCTCCACATGGCAAGGTCAGAACTTGCTTGCAAAAACCGCAAGATTTTAAGGCTTTGGGGAGTTATAGGGAATATGAACAAGAAAATTGTCATTGGGTTATTGCCGTTTGCCAAGAGGTATTGCCACCACCCACAACTGAGATAAACTAAAAGCGATCATTACAGGGTGAAGGGAATAGTCACGTCCAAAAGGGAAACTGCTCACAAGCCTTGAACCTCTCAATTAGGAGGCTTAGTTGGTAATACCCCTTTGGAGATGTTAATGAAGAAGCAGCCGAGAGGATTGTTGAGGCAGTGGGATGTTTAACATCAATTGTGGGAAAACCAATTACAAATGCCGAGGCACTAGCAAAAATTTGCTCAATCCCATAATTAATGTTACTCCCTCCAATCCTAAAGGTGTGTTTGGTTGGAGGAGTGATAAAATGAGCCCCTCTTCCCTCCCCTCATGTGGTTAAGAATTTTGGAAGGGAGAGGGGTCAAAATGTTCCCTCCTCTCTCTCCTCCCCTCCCCTCATCCCATTTTAGCTCCCCCAAATTGGGGGGTTTTTGAAGAGGAGCTCAATATTTGAACTATTATATTCTTGTGATTTTCTTGATATTTTATTACCACCAATAAAATATATTACTACCTCTAGTCCTCAATATAAGATCTCATTTGATTTTTATTTTGGTCTTAAATATAAGACCCCAATACACTTTATCTCTCATATTTATCCATTTTTTTTCAAGGTAGTCTTTTTAATAATAGTAGTTTTAGTAGATACATTTGATTAGCAAGGATATTTTAGGAAAGACAATACATATTTATTACAAATAACTAACTTAATTTCTTTCATTAATCTCCTCAAATTAGTCAACTAGCTCTTATAATTAAGACCGGAGGTAGTATTATAATATTTATTTTAAACAAAAAATATATTATCCTAAGTAAAAAATAAAAAAAATAAATTATTATTGACTAAAACTACCATTATTAAAGAGAGTACCTTAAAAAAAAAGATAAATATGATAGACAAATTGGATTGGGGTTTTATATTTACGACTTTGGTAGTTTTAGTCAATACATTTGATAAGTAAGGATATTTTAAGAAAGACAATACATATTTATTACAAATAACTAACTTAACTTCTTTCCTTAATCTCCTCAAATTAGTCAACTAGCTCTTACAATTAAAAACGGAAGTAGTATTATAATATTTATTTTAAACAAAAAATATATTATCCTAAGTAAAAAATAAAAAAATAAATTATTATAATTAAAATATATATTATAATAAAAATTAATATAAATTACTATAAAAATAAAAAATTATATTATAAAATTAATTGTTTTTTATAAATATATTATTTCTTAAATACATTTTAAAGCTCAAAAACCATAGCTTATAAAAAATAAAATTTCAACTTTTTTAAAGCATATAAAATTTGTTAATTTCATTATTTCAAATATATTATTATATTAATTAGAATTAAAAAAATACCATACCAATTTTTTAATGCACATATTAATATGATAAGATTGAATTTTTATTAAATTATATGATTTAAATTAAGATCTAAATTAATTTATATAATATATGAATAAAAAGTATAAACTAAAATGTAAAGGTAAAAGGATAAATTCATTGTTACTATCCCTTCTTTTCTACTCTTGAACCAAACAAAAATCATTAAATATCTCCTCTTTTTTTTTAATCAAACCAAACAAGATGAGAATAAAACCGCTCCCGTCCTCCCATCCCACCTTCCCTTCAAACCAAACAAGCCCTAAATGCTGGTTTGAAAAAAGGGCTAAATAATTGTAGTATTAAATCCTTATTATCACTACCCAACTATTTAAACTCGGCTTGCATCAAATAGAACGCGGGTAGTAGTTCAAACGTATTCCAACAACGGATATATAATATTCATTAAGAACACAGCCAACACAGATGATAACCATCTTAACAAAATTTAATTGTGCTCCAAAGTACAAAGGACAGACAAATTTAGCTCACAAAAAGAACAAAACTCGATGTGCTAATTGTCAACAAGAAATTCTACGGAGCAACATATCCAGTGAACCTGCAGTGGAAATTTCAAACACCGAAAAAGTCAAACATCAAAACTCAAGCAGCTATGTTCAATTATTCTGAACAATCAAGAGATCAAGAACAAATCTAAGGCATACAAACATCCATAGGATCTTATTTAGACATTGCCGCACATTCGTTACCCCTCATGATAGCCAAGACACACGTCATAACCGATGCCCAAGGCATAAACAATTTCCAGTTGTTTTAATAATGAGTCAGGTATCATTCTTTTTTCCCTTATCATATGGCCAGCAATGACGTTCTAGGTCGAGTTCCTTCCATTTTCTTACACATTTTCAGCTTGAATTGTCAATACGTCTCTTCTACTTGCATCAATGTCCATACTTCATAAATTTACCATGTATCCCCAAAGAACAGAGATGGCCATAATCTTTTAGATCTTTTAATTCATCATTTCAGCTCGTTTGTTATACACGTAGAAATATCACTGTAAACGTGGGGAAAAAGTGAACAAGCAGTACATTGCAATAAAGAACCTGTTGTGGGCCTCAAATACAAGACACCAGTTGGAGCGTTTTAGTGGTTCAAACTAAAAGACAGTCTTGGGGTTCCCTTATTAAAAGTATCAGAGATATTTGTGGTTCACAAGGTGGAATGTCGACATCTAATTAAGGGCAAATAAGACTTTATTGATACAAATTTAATTAGCTTAACCAATTTTAGCTGATTTTATGGGTCTAAGTGAAGTTGGTGTTAGTGCCTTATATTTGAGGCCAAAGGCTGTATATCACTCATAATGCCAAGGTGCAATTAAAGAAAAATATGAATGAGTTGGCGATAGGAATGGAGAGTCAAGAAAATTCAAAACACCAAAACAAGCATCAATAAAATCAGGTTCACCTTATATATTGCTTGGGTACATAAATACTCTAACCCTGGCTCCCTGCGAAGAACAACAACACCAAAATTCAATAATGCTCATACAAAATTAAAAGAACACAAACCCAATGTTCTCAATTTATTACCATTGATCTGGGTGGAAGGTTTGATTTGAACTTTGCTCGGACAACACCACTGTTACCGTGAGGCCTGGTAACCTTACCCCAAATACAGCGGTAATGGGTTCCATTCTTCTTAACCTTGGCCTTGTAAATATATGCCATTCGCTTGCCACAATACCATGCTACTTCTTCCTTGGTGTTCACTCCCTCAATTTGAATAAGAGAGGTGTTAGGATACTGGTTTGACTTAGACCTGAAAAATATCATGACCTTTTTTCAACACAAATCCTATGATGTTAAAATACCCTACAGTCAGATTGGTGAGAAATAAGAGATGGCAACTTCAATCCAAAAGCTTTTATCCAACAGAAGGTATCTTCGATTCCAAAACAATCAACCGCAAGATAGCACATTCGAAGTACGAGAAATTATTGAAAACACACAGGACAAGAAAGATTTACCTCTTGTATCCAAGGATTGTCCCTCTTACGTACAGTCTAATACACAAGGGAGAAAAACCGTTAGCTCCAATTTGAATTAAAAGAAAGCGCGAAAAAGCAGATAGCAAAGAGCAATGATTAATTTAACAATCCAGATTCGTAGACTTCAAAAGAAATGAAGTCAGCTAAGATCCCAGCTATATCTTAATGCCTCTTATGGACTTGAATAAGGTTATCTTAACAATAAAATGTTACCAAACAATCAGCATTCCCAAGCAACCAAAAAAATTGTAGAACTCTGAGTATCTCTTACTTCTGTGAAGTGCCTTTTATTTCATATAAAAGGAGAAGATTTTTTTTTTAAAGTAAAAACAAGTTATAGGTAAGCATCAGCTATGCTAAACCTGCCAGCAGTAGTCAAAATTTCACTTTGCTCTATCATACCTCTCCATGGAAAAATGTTTTAAGGGTCTATGACATCCAATACTAAAAAGATTTTGGATAAACAAAGTCGGAGTAAATGTATAATGGTCGTGACGCCCTGTAAAGAAAAGAATCTTCCAACCCCTGACATGCAGCAATTACATCTTGAAGAGCACGTACTCCGCAATAGATTGTGATAACCGAGAAATTCGTGGGGTTGAAAAGTGCACGGCAAAAACATTTCTACGAATTTCAAATGCGAAGCAAAATGGAGAGATATTTGATTGAGATACAAAAAGAAAAAGACACAGCTAACGACCAATGCTCTCAATAGAATTAACAATGGCACCTAATTATGAACAAAGTCCAACTGAGATCCCAGCTTAAATAACCAATAAGTGAAAGTAAAGTATAAGAAAGGCTTCGCGCAAAGGCTTCGAAGTTTACCTGACACGCTCTCCTTGGCGGCCCTTCACCATTTTCGTCTCGGAGGCGCTTACTGGATGATGGAGCTGAGAAAAATCAGAACGGCGCGAACGAAGCCCTGAACCGAGGGAATTTATACTGACTAATAGTATATATTGGCTTAGGGTTTCTCGACGAAAAACCAGAGATCCGTTTGGATGTGTTTGATTCTTATACGGGTTCGGGTTTTGGGCCCACCTTATTCATTAGTTTGGATTTGTATATTTTATGGATCTTTTTGACTCAACACCAATATTCAATTGCACCCAAAAAAAAAAAATCAATGTTCAATATATTTATCCTAAAAGTTATAAGAAATTGAGAAAAACATAAAAGAACCACCAAACTATGGGAATCCCAAAATGGTTTGCTGAAATTAATTAATTCTTGTTAAATTTTTGAAAAATTATTCTAGAATTAAGTTTCTTTCATAATGACCTAACTGCCCTCGCTAGAGAAAATTCTCTACTAACAACTATAGCAATAGTTACCAACCTCCGCCAACAAGCTAGCATTGGTGAATGAAGAATTTTTGGGTAAATAGATTATTTAAAAAGGTCGAATTTAATCCCACCACCTTTTGATTCTCAAAAAAAAAAAAAAAAAAAGATCACTGGACCGCTATTTTTTTTTAACAATATAATGCAAAATATTAAACAAAACTTTAAAATATATGAGATGACTTATTCACTTTAGTGATTAATAAATGTATCATCTAGCTTATTATTCAACAATGTGTGTTAACAAATTTAGTTATACAAAATGATATGACCTTCAAGGAGTGTTAAATTTTGAGTTCAGATTATTCATAATACAACGACTTTGATAAGAGAGAAGACCCCAGCCCGGCCACAAAACAACCGCTTCCACAGTAATTTAATATGAAATTACACGTGCCAATATTTTGCCATGCCAACGTTTAATTTTCAGTTCAATGAAAAAGTCATGCATTTTAAGAGAAAATTCAATTCTTTTTTCATAAAATATTTGCAATAAATTATGCAATTCTTTTAAAATTTCTACAAATCAAGCATGACTCATTTTTATTATCTTTTTAGTAAAAAAATATAAATAATATATCACGTCTACAAAATCACTCTTTTTGTTAATTTTACGATTCCATTTTATTTTATTTCATCATAGCACACGGCTCCATGAATGTTGATCATTATGGAGCTGAGATCACTTTCTCATACGACCATCAGTAGCACCGATTCTAAAACAAGACTAAAATCAGGCATGCAATAAAAAATGCATGGGATGAAATCTTCATGCTATCACATATAAAAATAGAAGATAATGGGGAAATGCTTGATTTAAACATTTTTGTTGTTTAAATATAAATTAAACACCTTCCTTTCACTCTATTTTTCTCCATTCACACATAACAAAGCGACTACGTATAAACACCAATTAAGGAAATGGTCCCGCAACTATTACAAATTGGATGGGTGAAAAACCAGAAAGATATAGGTAGGCTTTATCATTTACCACTCCATCAGCCATTTAATCCTCACGTCAATAACCTTGGTCAGTCCTTCCTGAAGCACAGCATGATAGTTAGCTGAGTTCTATACTTAAACCATCTCAAAGGATTCACGAAAATTTAAAAGATATAAATAAAATAAACATAAAACAGTAATAATCCATTGAATCCCAAAACTGCTTATTGTTTATCGGTTCCATGGACTACTAATTAACCATAAATCATTGTCAATGCTGAAGCACGCTAGGATAATAGTTCCGATGCTAAACACAAAATACAATAACAGTCAAATCAATGCAATGTTTAATCAATATGGTCGCATACTAGTATCCCCTGCTCATGATACTGGTAAATTCTTATACTCTTATATTCTTTACATGCAAAACCAAGCAGAGAATTCCACTTATCCAAATATTACGTGCAGGTCATGTCAGAATCCGTAACTGAAAAGCAACACCCCGCGATATATATAACGAACTACATCAGGAACATAAGACAATATGAAGACTTAAACGGGGCGTGCTTGAAGTGTTTTTAACTGATTAATAGCCCACGCATCAAATTGACAAAGTGAAATGAAGTTGAACTCCAAGGAATTACTTGAAGAGTTTCTCCACAATATAGTTCAAGCGCGCAACATCAGCTCCAATAAGCTCATCAGCCTTTTTTCCGTTCTGAAAGAAATGGAGTGTTGGCTGCAGCATGGAAATAAAAAAATAAATCTGAGACACAGAAGAACAGTTGGTCCACATTTGCAAAGTAACGCTTTATGAAACAGAGTAAATCTCCTGAACTAATCAAAGAGAATTCCAGATGTCAACTTAATTATACATGAGGAATTGAACCATTGCATTGTAAATGTGACGCGTGCTTTTCCAACAAAATGAGACATTAAATCACTTACCACGGACGTAATCATTAATTTGCCCAACGAGCCTTGAATTGCTTCCTGGGATCAATAAGTGAACAATGTATCAATTCAGCCGACTTCATGCATAGCAATTTATTGGTGCAATAAAGCAAAAAAAATTTCAGCACAAGATAAAATATGCTCCCCAAATGGATAATACTAACTAAGAACACAATTGTTTTTTTGGCTAGTTTTAAAAGAAATTGGGTTTTGATGCTCACAATTACAAACCACATTTAATGCAACAATTTTATATATCCACCAATAACGTATATTTATCATAAAAGAAGCCAACAAGTAACCCATTCCTCCCTTATATCAAAGGAAACAGTATCTGGACCTTTATTCTTCATGGATGTGGATGTAGAAAGAAGAATAAGGAAACAAATACAGATAAGAGGGCAAAAATCAGCCCCAAACCCTCACGCCCCCTATCTGAAACCAGAAGCAGAATCATGCTCAAAAATAGCATAACTTAGCTTTCACTCCTTTCTGCTCCCAAAATCTTCAAAGTAGAAGGAGAAAAGAAGTAGAAGATCCAACAATCAAGAATTTTCATACGTATGGCAGTTGCAATGACCAAGAGGTGCAGGAAGGTTCTATTAAAAATCAGTGAAGTTATCTCAGTGGCAAACCCAAACAACTCTCTTCCTTTATTCAACCTAAATAGTGCTCTCCCCGGCCCACTCTCTCCCTATGAATAACTTAGGTTACACAAAGCTCTCTTCCAATCTGTCTAGTACACAAACATGCTTAGTGATTTGAAATGTATAAACCTTCAGATATAGGACTGTTAATATTTTGCATGTGTAGTGTTTGGGCTTGTCCATTTCACCAAAAATAACTTGAACTACTTAAGTTAGGATTGCCACAAGCTTATAACTAATATCTTTCTTATCACTTTTAGACGGGACTTCTATTCCCAACACTCACCTTCGAATGTATCTGGACTAGGCTCGCTCTTTTTTTGAGAGTCATTTGCATTGAATTCTATATACCGGCCGCTGTTCTTTGAGGCCCTTCAAGTCCTTTATTTTTTATTCCTTGGCTGAGCTTGCACTCTTAAGCCTCAGGAGCCTTAGATCCTACAAATCTATTTTTTGGGTCTAGGATCTTACAATGCTTAAGACAATTTTTTCTTTTTGTATTGCTCTAGTACCATGCGGGGCTTCCATTCTCTTACGAGGACAACTTATAAATTCCAAGGTGACAATGATCAATTATGCAAGAATTGAATCTTTGTTAACTTAATTCACACGCTTCCTTCTTCAGTGCCAGAGTAATCACGAGGAACCAATTAAATTTAATTGTGAAAGACCTCACAAATTCTCATGTTTAGAACACCTTCAACAATACAGCGTGTCCAAAATGTAACATCCCATGCTAAATTTTTCTTCCTAGCCTAGTACTTCTTAGGGCCACTCGGGCAAGGGAAGACCAATGTTGATTATGCCAAACTAAATGGGGCATAAAACAGTTGACATAGCACAAGTATTACTCATGCCAAAGGTGGATTTTTTTTTTTGGGGGGGGGGGGGGGGGAGGTGGCCACGATTTAATAAAATCTAAACTTTATTAAAATTACTCATTACAACACCTACCAATACAATTCAAAATGAGTATGAGTGATAAATGGATGAGCATTTGAACATGATGTGATTTATATGTAAAAAGTTCAAAGATACAAAGCGCCATTACACCAGAAAACATTCTATGAAGTCAGTACCTGATCAATGTCAATCTTATATGTTGTCACATGAGGATATTTTCCACTGAGCTCCTCAATAACGGGAGAAATGAACCTGCCTATACAAAAATAAATACGGGAAAATTTTTTAGAGAATTGCTTTCTAGAATTTGCATAGAGAAGCATGTGACGCAATGAGTAGAAATATTAATTCATGTTATTCGGATTAATTCATGACATAATTGCAAAGAAAAATGATTTCTTTAAACTTAAATCACGTCCAAACAAGCACATATTTCTGCGATCAAACTAACACCACAATGCCGACTATAGAATCAGCATTTGAAGGATAGCCGAAGGACCATTGAATAAGCAGCAATATGATAGATTTTCTTGAAGGCACTTGAAAAAAATTGATTCTTGATCTGAACTCCTATCAGGATGTTATTTCAATATGCTCTCAAAGTGGTTCGTAGTGTAAACATGCAAGTGTGTTTTCCTTCCACTTGCATGCACTAGCATAAGTGATCAAATATATTTGTTCTACACTTATTGACATGGTCATCATACGGTAATCCTTTGCATGATTCACAGCCATACATAATCAAGATGAAAAATACAGTACAACTTATTGCTAAGATCTTGGTTAAGAGAGAGAGAGAAATGAACTTACATGGTCCACACCAAACTGCAGTAAAATAGAAGATCGCAGGCAATGATTGATCTAATAAAACAATGTTCGCAAGAAAGAAGATATCAGTTCTACTCTGCTCAATAATCATAATAATATCATTTACATAAATTATATTTACAAGGACAAAGAGCATAGCTGTCATCCAATTCAAACTCGCCAAAATAGATCACACCTTGTACTTTGCTAAGGATATCATTAAACTCTTCCTCTGTCTTAACAAGGACAATGTTCGAAGCACCTGAAAATATTTGGGGAAAAAAGATGACGTTGGGAGGAATACATTCAATAAAGAAATAGAACCAGAACTATCCATAATCATTTTGATTGATTAGAAAATGCATACTCAGCTCACACTCTTCCAAAGCTAATTCTATGATGAACTATAGCACAACAACCACTTTGATCCAGTATATCATAATGCAAACTTACTCCTTTAAGCTATACCACGAAACATTCTGCTTGATAAATGTTTATCCGGTGAAGTATTTAAACTAAACCCATCAGCCGTAGAGGACTTAAAATTGATCCAGTTAACATTGTTGCATAACAATGAGGTAATAACCAAGCATGAATTCGCACGTTAATCCAGTGTATGACACATTGACGTATCCAAACTCAGTAATTGTGGAAACGCAGTAAAAAATGCTGCCCAAATTATTCATCAACGTTTGTCTGAGAATAATTTGAAGAATAATATAAGCAGGAGGAGACCCACCTGAAGCGGAGCCAAATCGACGAACATTACAGGATGAAAGCAGAACTGATAGAAGGGGGGGAGTGATGGAGGCGACGGTAGAAAACGGGGAGTTAGTGAAGTACTTCGACGGTGCAGATGGGTATATAGTTGTCGAGGCAGGAGTCAGTGTTGCGACTGAATCAGAACGAACATGGTTAAAGATGGGGCGAATTCTATTCTCTATTGCCCAGCGAAAAACGGAGGATCGGTGGATCAAATTTCTCGCCATTTCCGTTGGCATGCCCAAATCTCTTCCAGATTTTTGGAATTTTTAGAACGCGTGAGAATTTTTTTATATTTTATTTTAGAAGGTTGCATTTTCATGTTTAAAGCTTTGGCCCAATCGTATCATTGGGCCGATTGGCGTGTTGGCATGGACGGACCAACTGAGCCCAATACAAACAGCACTATGTTTGGCAGAGGAAACTCAAACAAGGGGACTTTTTTTTTTAATAACATTTTATTTATTTAATCATTTATTATTTATTTTTGTGAGAGAAAATTAGATACTACTTCCGGTCCTTAATATAATACGTCGTTTGAATTTCATTTTGGTCTTGATTATAAGACCCTAATCCACTTTGTCTCTCATATTTATATATTTTTTCTCAAAGTAGTTCTTCTAATAATGGTCGCTCTAGCTAATACACTTGATTAGTAAGGATATTTTAAGAATGACAACACCTATTTACTATGAAAAATTAACTTAGCTTATTTTTAATCTTTTTGAATTAGTCAGTTAGCTTTTATAATTAGGATGGATGAAATAATAATGAAAAGTACAGCAGGGAAATCAGAATCAACAAGGGAAATGTTGGGATGAGATAGGCTTATAAATTATGTGTAAGTGCGTGCTTGGATTTGGAGAAGTGATATAATTATAATTAATTATAATGTGAGACACACTTGTAAAATTGATTGTAAAATGGTGAATGGGAAAAAGCATGTCACGCTTCCAATAATATCTGTCCCCTTACCGTCTTAGTGGCTTGCGCTCTTCCACTCCGCTTTCCTTTCCAATGTGCCCTCTCTTTTACGCCACTCGTTTTCGTCCTCCTGCTCTTCTTTTTTTTTCTTTTCTTTTCTTTTTTTAAATTCTTTCTGCCAGCGTTTTTGTCTCTGCCAATTATATATTTGATATTTGGATTAACTTTTTGAAAGTAATTTTACAATATACTAAGAAAGTATATAAAAAATTTTTTGTCTCAATTTACATAAATACATTTGTTTTAACTGATTTTAACTGATTGCCAAACTCTCCTTTAGAGTGTTTGCTTAGTTCTTGGACATATTTTTGTATCTTAAATGTGAACATTTTTTTTTTCAGCTAAAAAAAAAATGAACATTTTTATTAACAATGTTCAAATCTGGCTAATTAATATCATATACTATCTCCGGCCTCCAATATAATACTAACTCCGATAAAATCTCATTTGACTTTTATCCTGATCCTAAATATAATACCACAATCCACTTTGTCTCTCATATTTATTCTTTTTTCCCTAAAATAGTCCTTCTAAAAATAGTAGGTTTAACCAATAAATTTAATTAGCAAAGATATTCTAAGAAAGATAATATATATTTATTACAAATAATTAACTCGGCTTATTTCCTTAACCTACTCAAATTAATCAACTAATTTTTATTTTTAGAACCTGAGGTAGTAATTAGTCTGACATTTAATTTTGTCCCAAATAAAATATTCCAATCTACTTTGTAGTTTGTATTTATCTATTTTTTTCCAAATAGTCTTTATAGTAGTTCACTTGATATGCTAAAAGTTTCATTAAATGGTATTACTTCCGGTCCTTAATATAAGAGCTGATTGACTGATTTGAGTAAATTAAGAAAATTAGTTAAGTTACCCCTTTTGTCCTATTTATAGGATAGAGAGTGAAAGTAATATTTTTGTCCTATTTATAGGATACTAAGATAAATTTTTGTTATGGATGTACAATTTTACTCCTTCTTTATTATTGTGTTGCATTTATTTACATGAGGTATAACGTATATTAAATAGAGATAAAGTTAAAAAATTATTGAATTTTAAATGAAAGTTAATGAAATTTAAGGTTTTTTCTATCTGAAATATGCTGAAAATGATTTATATATAAATAGGACCAAATAAGTAGTTATTTATAATAAATAACTATTATTTTCTCTAAAATACCATTACTAATCAAGTGCTACTTGACAAAATATTTAACATGTATAATTGCTGCAAAGAGTACATTAGAAAAAATTGATCAACATGAGAGATAAAGTGGATTAAGATCTTATATGTATGATCAAATTAAATGTCAAATAAGTTCTTATATTAAAGATCAGGAATAGTATAGCTAATAAATATGATTAGTAAAAATATTTTAGAGAAGACAACACATGTTTATTACAAATAACTAACTTGATTAATTTTCTTAACCCGCGCAAGTTAGTTAACTAGTTGTTGTTATAGTAAAGGTAAAAAATTAGTACTCATCCGGTCTTTAATATAAGAATCATCTAACTAATTTAACTAGATTAAGGAAGTTTATAATCATTTTTCTTAATACCTCCTCTTTCTGTTTTATTTGATTATGGTTGAGGGAGTATTTACAGGGGTGATTTAGAGAAAATTGATAAATATTATAATTGAGTCTTATGTTTAGAACCAAAATTAACTCAATAATTAGATCTTATATTAAAAACATAAGGAGCATTAGGTAACTTAGTTGGAAGGAGCCTAACTTTGCTAAATAATAACAAAAAGACAACTCCTATTACAGGCGAGAAATTGTTTTTAAATAGACTACTGCGAATCCGACTTGTGTCACCTCACTCATTCACTCAACTTCCCTCCAAAAACACCCTTTCCGCCTGCCGCATGTTTGATCGTTGATTTTGCGGAGAACTGATTGTGATTAGTGAAATTGTGATTGTGTTGTCACTTATGACTTGTAGAAGTTTAATTATTTGATAGCAACTTATTTTCTGTGAAACGTGATAGTGGATATGAGAAAACTATGCTGAAAATTATTTTGTTCAGCAAAATAAACTTATTTGTTTATCTTTTATAAGCCAATTGGCTCATGTGTAGTTTAGCTTGGCTTCTGAGCTTCACCAAGGAAAAATGTTAAAAGAAAATAGCTACGGTGATTTATATAAGAGCTAATTAAAAATTAGATTTAATACTAAATATAATATTTTAATTTGTTTCGTCTCTCAGTTTTATGATGTTTTTTCTGAAATATTTTTATTAAGTGTAAAGGATTCCCACTAAGAGGTAACTTTCATACACATGATTAAATATGATAGTTTAGAAAAAATCAATGCACATTTGTTATAATTAACCAACTTAACTGATTTTTTTAATCTTTTTAAATTAATTATCTAACTTTTATATCAAGTGTGATAATTTGTGTGTCATTAAGATTGCAATTTAAAAAGAGTAATTTTCACAAGTTTTGGTGATTTTCTTGGACAGTGGGGATAACTCACAGAGAAATATGTAAGAAAGAAATTAAAAGTAATTAAGATACATTAATTTTAATTAGAGGTTGATTTTTAAAAGCAGTAATAGTTTTTTTTTTAATCATTTTAATAATGTATTTTTTCATTAGGGAACCCGCGGTCAGAGAAGCGTCGAAAGGGAATAAATGGGAAACGCCAGCGCGGGAACGAGTCAGACATTGGGAACACAATATCCATGATAGAGTTCCGATACTGCCCTCCATGGCCTGTTTTCTCAAATGTCGCCCTCTTCTAGAACCCTTCTCATAATATTACCTCATATGCTTGAAATAATATTTTGTTTAGTTTTTATTTTGATTTTAAATATAAAATTTTAATACATTTTATTTTTTATATTTATTTGTTTTTTAAGATAACCTTTCTAATAATAATAGTTTTAACTAATAAATTTAATTAATATAGATATTTTAGAAAAAAACAACAAATATTTATTACAATTAACCAATTTAACTTTTTTTAATCTATTCAAATTAATCAACTAGCTCATATATTTAAACAAGAGATAATACTACATATTCATGGTAGAATAATAAATTTTAAATAATAAAAACCGTGATTAATATTAGTTGCCATGTTAAATATAAGAGCTATTTTATAATACAATTTATACTATAATTTAATTTGTATATTTAGTATTGGTGGGAATAATAAATTGTGAAACTTAAAATATTAATCATACAAAGAAACATTTTCTTGACCCAACTAAGGGGATGTTTGGGCACCACAAAAAATACTTTTCACAAATATTTTTTCACAAATCGAGATAAATTCATTTATACATTTATTTTATATAGCGTAAAAATATTTTTAAAATCATGGTTTTGATTTTATCTAAATCCTATCAGATACCCACGACATGGGGGATAGACATAAATAGGAATTGAGGTGCGGCAGCGTATAAAATTATAACATCATTTGACGTCACACTTACGTCTTTTTTTAAGAGGTCGCCAAATGCTTGCTCCATTTAATGATCATCTCGTTAGTTTTAATACAAAATAGTTAAACTCCATAAATCTCTTTCGGAGGTCAGTCAAACTCCATAAATTTGAACCATTCTACCCAGATGTAATACCTACTGAGTTGTCAAGAGATGCTTAACTAATTTAACAAGATTAAATAAATTGCTTAATTCTAACAAATATGATTTGATTTCTTAAAAATATTTTTGTGCAATATTTGATTATATATTAGTTCATAAATTATATAAATTAGTCTGAAAATAATAAATATAAGAAATAAAATAAATTAAAATATTATATTTAGGGTTAAAATCAACTCTCTAATAACCCCTACATTTGTTGGTTAAAAAAAAAAAATTAATCCCTTAAATTTAGGGTTTAGGATAGGAGGGGCAAACTTCAACAATGATAATTTATACTTCTCCAATCCTAAATATAAGACCCTTTTTATAGTATAAATTACATTATAAAAGATGTTTTATATTTAAGATCGGAGGAATATATTAATAAAGAATTCATGTATAGCAAAACTTGCCATTTTTTTAAAAATCTGAGAACATAAATTAAAAAAGTAACAATCCTGTAACACAAATTATTTTTTATTTTTTGATAAAAATTAAATGAGATATAGATATTTTTTAAAGTTTACATAGTACTAAAACAAAAGCAAAAAGAATTCAGACTATGTCCTAGAAAACAAAAAAATACATGAGGAAAAATTTGCTTAAAAAAAATGAAAATGGTGAAGAAGAGTCCGAATTTTCTATCATGTTATTGATAAAACTTATGAGAAGCTTTAATATCAAAGGAAAAATTATTTTTGTACTGCTTCATGACAAATAATTTAATATTTAGAATTATTCATTTATTTGGAGTTGGAGCTAGGCCAAACTACAGAAATTCTCCTAACAATGATTTTTAATCTATAAGATTTAATTTTGCGGGCATGGATTTTGTTGGCCGCACAACTTAATTGTTAAAAAAATATATTACTCTGGTTCTAAATATAAGACTTATTTTATAATATAATTTACATTATAAAATAAGTTTTATATTTAAGATCAAAGAAGTATTATACTCTTTTGATTTTAATTCTAATAAAAATCTTAAAATTATAATTTGAAGGAAAAAAGTAATCCTCCAACAGGAAAAAGAAAGTGCTGAAGTTATTTACCTAATTTCTCCTCTCTCTCTCTGTTTTTTTTTTTTTTGCGGGGTTTAATAGCGATGGCAAGACATTATTTTGTTGGCCTGTGAGTTTATTTATTAGTTTCATCAATTTTTTGAGTGAGTGAATTGACAATTTTGACTTTTGAGAATAAAATTATACAACTTCCATAGTTTATAACTGTGTACTTTCCTATTCCACTTTTTTCAAAGCTCCACATGGCTTCAAAATGATCAGGCTGGCTTTGGCTTCCAAGCCAAGCCATTGTCAATAAATAAAGGCTGTCGTTTGCCCCACTATTTTCCCCAAAATCTACGTCGTTTCGTAGTGAGCCGGCGGGGCGGCGGCTTGCTTAACAAACCAATCTCATTGATGAAATCATCGTGCAGTACAAAATCTCCGAGGAAAGGAACAGTGGAGAAGTACAAGGGCACAACGGTAAATGAATAAATGATCTAAGGGTAATGTTGGAAATAAAATCCTCCCTCCTTGACTTTCCATGTCTGCTCCACCTCCTACTCGGACAAAAACGAGGAAATCTCTCATTTCCTGTTCTTCTTCTTTCTGTTCCTTCCGAAGCTTTCTCATTTCTGTGTTCAATTTTCCCTTTTCCTCTCTCTGTATATATTCTGCTTCTCTCGATTCTCGGCGCTTCACAATGGCGCCGAGTATAAGAAATCTACAGCTAACTTCCCTCGCAACCGCCGCTGCTGCCGACGATGGTGATGCCGATGGCATGGAGGAAGTGCGGCTTTTGGACTCCTACGAAGATAAAAACTACAATGGTTCTGATGGAATTGAGGAAGGGCTGAAGCGAATTCATGTCAGAATCACCGGCATGACCTGCGCTGCTTGCTCCAATTCCGTCGAAGCAGCTCTGAATGCCGTCGATGGCGTCATCAGCGCTTCTGTGGCTTTGCTTCAGAACAAGGCTGATGTGGTTTACAACCCGTCTCTGGCTAAGGTTGGTCTGGGGTTTGCTTGAGGTTTTATGATTGCATGCGTGGTTATACTTTTGCTTTGCATCAATATCTGATTGATGGAATAATGCTTTTCTGGAATTGCGTTGTTTGAAGTGCTGCTGGTTGATTAGTTTTCTCTCTCGGGTTTGTTTTGTTCCGTGGTTTAACTGTTAACTACCTGTCAATGATATTGTTAAATCGAGTTATATAAGTGAAATCATTCTTCCGGCCACTTTTGTTTCTGTATTTATTATAGTTCATGTATCATGTGATGGGTCTTTATTACATCTTTAATTTGCTGTTTTTCAATTAATTAATTATATGCCAACTGAACACTTGGTTAGTTTTGTTGATCAGTCGGTATCATTTGTTATATGTCCATCTAGAAATATTTACTCAGTATTCATATCGCAGTTTTAGATAGTAATCATAGATGTGGTACCAGTAGATAATCTTTTTTTAATGGTTCAGGACCTATTTATTTCTAGGTTTAAGCGGACATTTTTAATTAAAAGGGACGAAGGTCTGATTTACTTGACCTTACTTTTTTCTGATTCTGGTTTATTGTTAAGTCCATATATATATATATATATATATATATATATATTGCATTGTGCTTATAATTATTTTCTGAAGGTGAAGTTGTACTGACGTCCCTAAAGCTCATTTGGTAGTACAGTCACCTCCTGTGGTTTCAGAAGTTGGAACAATCTCATGTGCTTTAAGTTTTCGACAAAAAATGCCATAATTATTATTTATCTATTTTTGAATACATATATCTCCGCATTTTAGCTTTGCGTTGGGGTCAAGATTAACTGCAAGGGATTTCCTTGGATTACCTATGGCCACTGTAATGTTAGCAACCTTTAACTGTGTGTGATGAAACGCCTGTCCGATGTATTATTTGGATGAGTGAGAGAAAATGAAATAACTTTTCAGTAAATTGACTGAATTGGTATCTGGAGGCTTGTATTATAGAATTATTGAACCTTGTTTTAAAATTTGTCCTAAAACAGGATGTAGATATCAAAAATGCAATTGAAGATGCAGGGTTTGAGGCAGAGATATTACCTGAACCCAGTGGTGATGCGCTCAGAAAAAAGTCGCACAGAACCTTGGTGGGACAGTTCACGATTGGTGGTATGACATGTGCAGCCTGTGTAAATTCTGTTGAAGGTATTTTAAGAAATCTTCCAGGGGTCAAAAGGGCTGTGGTTGCTTTGGCTACTTCATTAGGAGAAGTTGAATATGATCCTAATGTAATTAACAAAGAGGATATAATCAGTGCAATTGAAGATGCTGGTTTTGAAGGTTCATTTGTGCAGAGCAGCGAGCAGGATAAAATAACTTTATCAGTTGTTGGTGCATACAGCGTGATTGATGTACAAATCTTGGAAGGCGTTCTCAGCAACATGAAAGGAGTGAGGCAGTTTCGTTTTGACCAGATATCAAGTGAACTGGTGGTTCTTTTTGATCCTGAAGTTTTCAGCTCTAGATCCTTAGTTGATGAGATTGAAAGGGAAAGCAACGGAAAGTTCAAATTACGTGTCAGAAGCCCATATACAAGACTAGCTTCCAAAGATGTTGAAGAGACCTCGGCTATGTTTTGGCTTTTTACATCCAGCCTTTCTCTTAGTGTGAGTGTTTCTCCATTTTATGTTTAAAGCTCAATTAACAATATTTATGCATGCATAATTTTTTCTCTCAGTTTTCATTTATTTTAGGTTACCTTTCCACTTGCTTGCATCCTCTACTTATCTGAGCAATCTTGTCTGAAAATGCTTGTTAAATGATATTCACATACTGATTGAACATATACATATAATACATGAATGAAAAGTAGATTAGTTATGCTTGTTTATTCCTACCTATGGAACTTCGGAAGGAATGTATATGAGATTGGAAGGGTAGAGGATAATGGGACAGAGAATATATATAATTGTGGTTTTGTCAAGCTTTAAGTTTATAATGCTGAAAGAATTGTTCCTTGAGAGTCTGCATTTGTCAATCATATGAGAAAATGTAGATTGTGTTAGTATTAGTCGCAAGTTTCATCTATACTGAGAGTCACTGTGTTTTCTTTCTCGTGCACAAGCATATATATCGCTTAATCTTGTCAATTAATTTTTGCCTCATGCGTCTGTATCAGATTCCTCTCTTCTTCATGCGTGTAGTCTGTCCTCATATACCCATGGTATATTCGTTATTACTTTGGAGATGTGGACCTTTCCTCATGGGCGACTGGTTGAAGTGGGCTTTGGTGAGTGTGATTCAATTTGTAATTGGGAAGCGCTTCTACATTGCTGCTGGCCGAGCTCTAAGAAATGGTTCAACTAACATGGATGTCTTGGTTGCATTGGGAACTACAGCATCTTATGTTTATTCTGTTTGTGCTCTACTGTATGGTGCTCTTACTGGATTTTGGTCTCCAACATATTTTGAGACCAGTTCCATGCTCATAACATTTGTATTGTTGGGTAAGTACTTGGAATGCCTTGCCAAGGGGAGGACATCAGATGCCATCAAGAAGTTAGTAGAACTTGCTCCCGCAACAGCTTTATTGGTTGTGAAAGATAAAGGTGCATATTTTCTGTTTCTGTGCTTTATTCTCTTAAGAAAATAGATTTCAGACTTGAAACATCTGTAGAGTTTGATTTTATCTCTGAGGTGTAAACTATTAAATCATTACATTACTCATCATGTTCAAGATTTTAGTGTCAAATTAAAACTTGAGGATTTTTGTTTTTCCCCCATTTTTGTTCAAACTTGAAACATCTGTAGAGTTTGATTTTATATTTGGGGCGTAAACTATAAAATCATTACATTACTCATCATGTTCAAAATTTTAGGGTCAAATTAAAACTTGAGGATTTTGTTTTTCCTCCCATTGTTGTTTTGTATTTTCCCCCTCTAGGTGGAAGATCTATTGAAGAGAGGGAAATAGATTCTCTGCTCATTCAACCCGGCGACACATTGAAAGTTCTCCCTGGTGCAAAGGTTCCTGCTGATGGCATTGTTACATGGGGCTCAAGTTACATAAATGAGAGCATGGTGACTGGTGAATCTGTTCCTGTTTCGAAGGAGGTGAATGCAACTGTCATTGGAGGTACAATAAATTCACATGGCATCCTTCTCATTGAAGCTACCAGAGTAGGATCTGATGCAGTTTTGAGTCAGATAATTAGCTTGGTTGAGACAGCTCAGATGTCCAAGGCCCCCATTCAGAAATTTGCTGATTATGTAAGTATTCTTGTCATGGTTGTGTTTGACTACGTCACACTTTGGGAGCTATTATGGTTGTTACTTTAATGCTTTATGCATCTTAGATTGAATGATGTTATTTTTCCTTTCTTATGGCTTAATAAAAAGCATTAGCTTGTGAAACAGTTCTGAATGGTTTCATGTTTGTGCTTGCTCTTCTGTTTGACAACTAAGTTGATGATGTGAATTCTCTTAAAGGTTCCAGACTGACAGAATTTGCATTTAAGATATTTATTTATGACAATAACATGACACCCCGTTGGTCCATAATTTTGGCCCACACAGGTCTTTTGGCTCCAATGTCAGGCCTGTGGCTTGTTTTTTTGTGTTTTTTAGTACTTTACAGACATTTCAACTGTTAAAGATTTTCTGTCATCTCACCCTGTTACATTTATTCGAAAATAATAATACGGATCTTGACAATGTCAACCCTTGATTATTTATGCTTATAACTTACATTACATGGCTTTACATGGGAGGGATGATAAGAATTGGTTGGTGATGGACGAAAAAAGGTACCATGATTGTTGCTTCATCTCATTATCATGTTGTGGGACTATGGCATAGCTTAGTTAATTAAAGATATATCAAGTAGCAAGGAGGCGGTGATAAAGGTGCTTCTGGTAGGTCTGGTGAAGCTTCCAGAGATGGACCAAAATTTTGGAGGCTTTTGACTACCAATCACTTAAGTTCCTTCTACAAATCATTCATAAAATAAGAGTATGAACTCACTCATGTGAAGTTTAAGACTTGAAGTACAGTTTTTATGCTAATAAATTTTTTGAAGTGGATGTTATTTGTTAATCAAGTCTACTCCTGAGAAATATTACATATAAAGATCGTTTTATATAAACTCTTCTACCATTCTTTGGACTGGCAGGTAGCAAGTATATTTGTTCCCACAGTTGTTGCCTTGGCCCTGTTGACATTTTGGAGTTGGTATGATCACACTGACTGATCTTGGCATACGAATATAATTAACTTTATTATGTATGCTTAGCCTTGATTTTTTTGGCTAATAAATTTATATGATTGCTTGAAGGTATATTGCTGGGGCTCTCGGAGCTTACCCTGAAGAATGGCTGCCAGAAAATGGAAATCATTTTGTTTTTGCCCTAATGTTTTCAATATCTGTAGTGGTGATTGCATGTCCCTGTGCACTTGGCTTGGCAACACCAACAGCAGTGATGGTAGCTACAGGGGTTGGGGCTAACAACGGGGTGTTGATCAAAGGAGGAGATGCCTTGGAGAGGGCTCAGATGGTGAAGTATGTGATATTCGATAAAACTGGCACTTTAACTCAGGGGAAAGCTAGCTTTACCGCTGCCAAGGTATTCACAGGAATGGATCGTGGAGAATTTCTAAAATTGGTGGCTTCTGCTGAGGTGGGTTTCGGTCTTTTTGAAATGACTCAGATGAAGTGATCGAGGGGCCATTCATAAGATTAATTTTGTCTCTATCTCCCTTCCTTCTTACCCTTGGCATAGACAACTTCTCCCGTAGTGTTTTTGGAATGAAACATTTCTGACTTTCTTTTGGTTCCTACAACTTTCCAACCTTCTATCTAGGGTGAGGCAAATCAAACGAATTAATAATAATTTATTTTAATCCCCTTTTGCCTTCAGGCTAGCAGTGAGCACCCACTGGCTAAAGCAATAGTAGCATATGCACGTCATTTTCATTTCTTTGATGAATCCTCTGCAACTAATGGTCTCAAAGATGATGCCAATGAGTTGAAGTCTGGGTGGCTTTATGATGTCTCTGACTTCTTGGCTCTTCCAGGAAGAGGTGTTCAGTGTTTCATAGATGGGACGCGTATATTGGTAAAGTCTTAATCTTGTAATATAACACTATCATTTGATCTAAATACTCTGGTGTTTCATAAGTTTCAAATAGTTGCTTATCATGTGTCGCATGTCCTGCACAGGTTGGTAACAGGAAACTAATGGAGGAAAGTGGCATAGATATTCCAACTGAAGTGGAAAATTTTGTGGTCAATTTGGAAGAAAGTGCAAACACAGGGATTCTGGTTGCATATGGTGATGGGCTAACTGGAGTTATCGGGGTTGCAGACCCACTGAAGAGAGAGGCTTCTGTGGTTATTGAGGGCCTCAAGAAAATGGGTGTGAGACCTATTATGGTTACAGGAGATAACTGGAGAACAGCTCAAGCTGTTGCCAAGGAGGTCTGTAAATGCTCGCATTTTTAGTTGGCTGTTAAAATGTTCATTCCGATCTGATAGATTATAAATTACTAATCATTAATTACTTGATTGTTGAGCTCTCTTATAAATTTCAAGTGACAAGTAAATCCTTTCACTGTATCACTTCTAACCAATCTATTGAAGCAGAATCGCTGATTCTATGCAACATGCCACAAGAAAATTTTTGTTGGACGCAAATTAATTTGTGTTGCCACGCTCGTGATGAAAATTGTGTTCTTTGACAGGTGGGCATTCAAGATGTTAGAGCTGAGGTTCTGCCTGCAGGAAAGGCTGATGTTGTTCGTTCATTCCAGAAAGATGGAAGCATAGTTGCAATGGTGGGTGATGGCATCAATGACTCTCCTGCATTAGCTGCTGCTGATGTTGGTATTGCCATTGGGGCTGGGACTGATATTGCGATAGAAGCTGCTCAATATGTGTTGATGAGGAACAATTTGGAAGATGTAATCACAGCTATTGATCTCTCTAGGACGACCTTGTCTCGAATTCGATTGAATTATTTCTTCGCCATGGCCTACAATGCGGTTGCCATACCAGTTGCTGCTGGGGTTCTCTATCCTTCCCTTGGGATCAAGCTGCCTCCATGGGTCGCTGGTACATGCATGGCTCTCTCATCCGTAAGTGTTGTCTGCTCTTCTTTGCTTCTCAGGAGATATAGAAGACCTAAACTTACTGAAATACTTGAAATAATTGTGGATTAGCTATAACTGAGTCAGAGTTGCTGTACCGGTAAGTCATAGCTTTGAGGTTATAGATGAGTTTGATCAAGACCTATAATTCCAATTTTGCTCTTCCCTGTGAATTGTAACTGTAATTGTAACGGCCATTGTAAATGCACTTGTATTATAGTTGTATAGCCCTCCACCCCACCCTACCCAAAAGAAAAATCCAAATAATAAATTTACCCTTACCTTTTTATGCATCTGTTTGCATAGGATATCAGACTCCCGAAACAAAAAAAGATTGCAGATTGATGAGTTTATTTGTCGCAGTGAGGGACTTCTTGGTTTCTCAAGTTTACATCTGTATCCAAAGTCCCTGAACATCTGTTTCATGGATTTTTAATTAGATGATATCATATGGAATCTGAAGGATGAGCTACAGCCTGCAATGGATTTTATACTGAAAAGTGGGTTCTGATTGGACTCCGGATTCTTCTCTAGTCCCATTTATAACCGGAAAAGAGAAGATTTTTTTGTCTTATTTATAAATTAGGTCATTAAATTTTTTAAAAATAATGTACTTTTTACATTTTTGCCTTTCATGTTTTGGTGTTGAGGCTACTATTTTTTTTTAGAAAGTGTGTATATGAAATAGGAGTAAAATTAAAAAATTATTAAGTACTTTTTATTCTGATAAAATATATTGAAAGTAACTTGTAACTACGATAAAAAGAACACTAATCGGAACTTTTATCCAAGCGAAGATTTATACCGTGTGCAAGTGTATAACACAGTTTTGCTGCTGTCTAATGATTTCTCAATCATATTCTTGGCATTATTGCAGCACGGCTAGTTTTACACAAGCATGGGGAAAAAATACTCCTCCGGTCCTTAATATAAGACTCATTTAACTAATTTGATTAGATTAAGGAAGTTAGGTAAGTTAGTTAATTATAAGAAATGTGATATATTTTTCTTAAAATATCATAATCATCTTTCTTAATACCCCCTCTTTCTCTTCTACTTGATTATGGTTGAGGGAGTATCCATAGGGGTAATTTAGAGAGAATTGATAAATATGAGAAATAGGTCTTATATTTAGGATCAAAACAAACTCAAAAATTGAGTCCTATATTAAGGACTGAAGGAGTATTATAATTTCAAATCATCAATATCAATTTTCACCGTATTTCTTCCTATGTTGGGACGGAAATGGGGGTTCGTATGACGTGTACAGCTTGCATAAGCCATAACTCGTGTTTGATGTTATGTTTTAATATTTGTACATCTTTTTAAATAATTTTTGAAAAATATTGACGAAAATCCTCGAGAATTTAGAAATTGCTATTGTTGCACACAATATAAAGCATTTGATTTTTTATTTAATGCAATTTAGGATCCAGATATTATCATTTTATATCGTTCGCAAAATATTGATTTATTTTTCCCATACCATCATTTGCAATGAAGGAAAGGCATCAGTTTAAGGATTTCAGAAAGGAACAAAAATTAAAAACTTTTAAAGCTTTTCTATCATGTTCTTCACTAGATACAAGTGAACGAGCTTTCCAGATTACTTGGACGTGCGAGGGAGATTTTTGAAAGTAATGTTATGTTTATTTAAGAAGTTAACAACAAAATTACAATAATGTTTATTTCTTTTATTGAGTGAGAAATGTTGGCCGGGATTGCTATCTATTCAATTGAACATTTGAAGGTGTCAACTTCAAACTTGGTACACTCTTTTTTTTTTTTTTGGCCAATACAAACTTGGTACACTTATTTATTCTTTGTGGAGCCCCAACACAAATCATACGTTAGTCGTCAAATTTTAGGTGGCGTCTTAGCTAGTATTGTTGTATTATACTACTTTCGAGTCTTAGCATAAGAGCTAGTTAACTAATTTGAGTAGATTAAAAAAACTAGTTAAGTTAGTTATTTATAATAAACAGGTGTTGTCTTTCTTAAAATATTCTTGTTAATCAAGTATATTGATTAAAACTATCATTATCATAAGGACTATTTTGAGAAAAAAAAATAAATATGAGAGACAAAGTAAATTAGAATTTTATATTTAGAATCAAAATAAAAATCAAAAGAGTTCTTATATTAAAAACCGGAGATAGTATATTGTATATACCTAAATTATGATCAATGTTTGTCCAATTCAAACAATTCACCCTCTCACTATCACTGCATCACACTCATGCACAATCCTTCAAACTCTCCTGCCTAATTAGCATCGGAGATTTTTCTTCGGACAAGGAGCCTCTAATATCGCACTTTTTTAATAGTTCTTATATAATTTAATATTTCTTATATAAAGCCGTAACCTCTCAGATATTTTTCTCGTTCGAAAAGGAATGATATTGTGTATGTGGATTGGATAAGAGGTAATTATATATATACTCCTCCGATCCTTAATATAAGACCCATTTAACTAATTTGGTTAGATTAAGGAAGTTAGTTAAGTTAGTTTATTATAAGAAATGTGACACATTTTTCCTAAAATACCATAATCATCTTTCTTAATACTACATCTCCCTCTTCTACTTGATTATGGTTGAGGGAGTATCTATAGGGGTAATTTAGAGAAAATTGATAAATATGATAAATGGACCTTATATTTAGGACCAAAACCAACTCAACAATTGGGTCCTATATTAAGGAGTGGAGGAGTATTTTTTAATGATTTGCCTGGTAAAATAGTAAAATACACATTTTGTGACATTTAATTGGATCATATTGTACTTTGAATATAAATATAACTTGGTTATAAATTTATAATTGATACCATGTGATGGTTATGTCTACATTCATTCTACAAGATGAAGGGCAGCCGCATTTGGAATTAAAAATAAACAAAATTTAAATGGTACACACTAAATTAAATATCAGGGGGAAGGAAAAAAAATAGGGGAAATGTGGCTGCTTTTTTATTTTTAATTTGCGAAAGTGACGGCTTGTCTTCTTGTAGATCCATCGCAGCTGACAAATAAAAATGATCCAAATATTGTAAATCGCTCTGTTCCCAAAGTGGCAACGCATTATAATAATACTCCTCCGATCCTTAATATAAGACCCATTTAACTAATTTGATTAGATTAAGGAAGTTAGGTAAGTTAGTTAATTATAAGAAAAGTGACATATTTTTCCTAAAACACTATAATCATCTTTCTTAATACCTCATCTTCCTCTTCTATTTGATTATGGTTGAAGGAGTATCTATAGGGGTAATTTAGAGAAAATTGTTAAATATGAGAAATGGGTCTTATATTTAGGACCAAAACCAACTCAAAAATTGGGCCCTATATTAAGGACCGGAGGAGTATCTCGGGTCTTAATTATAAGATTTTGTTTGTAGATTATAGATAATATAATATAAGTTGGCCAAAAAAAAGATAATATTACCTCCGGTCTTTAATATAAGACTTTGTGTGACTTTTATTTTGGTCCTAAATATAAGACTCCAATCCACCATGTCTCTCATATTTATACATTGTTTTTCAAGTTAGTCCTTTTAATAATGTTAATTCTAACCAATATACTTGATTAGTAAGGATATTTTAGAAAAAACAATATATGTTTATTACAATAACTAACTTAACTTTTTTTCTTAATTTATTCAAATTAGTCAACTAGCTCTTATATTTAGGAATGGAGGTAGTATAATATTATTGTTTTTTTAAAAAATAACTGGTTCCTAATTTTCATTAATCTGTACAGTTTAGATATATATGAAGGGAGGATTCTTGAGGAGCAACATTATTGTTATTTTTTGGGTAATATGGATATATATATATATATATATATATATGCCTACTACTTTTAGCATGGACAATATTTATTTGTGATCAATTCTTTCAATAAACATCACAAAAAAGTTATGCATAATTTAAATAATACCTACGCCAATGGTTTTATGTCTGGTTTTGATTTTGATGGTTTTCAACATGAAATCTTTATGCTTACGAAAATAATCACACTACATTGCATGGGAATACAGTGTATTTAAAAAAAATGAATATATTAAGAAATGAAAATAAATATAAAATTATCAGTACAAGCTATAATATATTAAGAACCAGCATTATTCATCTGCTTCTCCTGGTAGTGGTGGAGCCTGGACTCATGACTAGTTGAGGTTAGATATTTACAATTTTACCCCCTAAATACATATAGAAGAAGGGAAAATTCTCCATTTTTAAAGATTTTGAGTTTTTATTATAATATCATCAACTAATATGATACAAGTAAGTGGGTGTGTGGAAATCATGTTAAAAAAAAACTTCTCTCACATATTTATCTCGGACAACATAAGGTAATTAAAACAATCTAATTTAACTATTTAAGTTCTCATCATGTGTGACAAATCATTGATTTTTTTTAAAAAAAATTCATTGAATTTTTGAATAGTCATAAACTTGCTTTCAAGTTACACTCCTAAAAGGAATCCATCATTTGATTTCGTAGTACTCTATAAAGATTTTTTTTTTTATTGAAAAAAATGAGTTGTTCCCAACAATTTTGTTTGTTTGTTTGTTTTTCTTTTTTCTTGGTAATTAAAAAGCCGCCTTCAAGTTGGGTTTTAATGGGTGACAAATTATTTGTTATAAATTAATTGGGATACGGTGGATTGATTCCAGTCAAATAAACACAGAACATGTAAGCATGTGGAAGATTTTTGAAGCGCCATTTTATGGCAAAGCGCCATTCTAAGATTGGAAGCAACGTACCAAAAAGGCAAGTTAATTAAAATATATATAATAATAATAATAATATATACATGGGCGACTTAATCTAGCAATTGACTTAATCGAGCAATTGATGAGTACAGGTTATTTTATAATGCCAATATATAATAATTAATTGAATGCATCATTATAGACTGATGACCAATGAGAGAGATATGTAAATATCTGATTGATTGAGACGTACATAAATTAAATATAGGACGAATTTCAATTAAATTCAACTGAAATATCTAAATTCAAATTTAGATCTACAGTATAATTGTTTTTTAAATAAGTATTTTTATTTTCAGTTGTTATAATTTATGTTAGTTTTATAACAACTTAATATTAAATATTTCTGTAATTAAAATATTTTAAAATCTTAAAATAAATATTTACAACCTGAAAAGAAAAATATTTATTTAAAAACTACTTATATCATAATTTAAAATGTTTTGCTAAAATATTTTTGCAGGTTTTAGTTATATATACAAAATTTTAAACACTGAAAAATTATTTATATTTTTTTTGTCTAAATCTTAATAATAAGAGATGAGGATCACATGGGAGGGGTTTAAACTGATCAATTTGCCTTTTTAATTAAAGATGGATATTTTGATCATTTGACAACATTAAAAAAAAAAAAGGGTAATTAGCCTTCATGTCTTGATTAGGTATTTGTTAAAAATGTAGGCC